GGGGGGGGGGGAAGAAAAAAAGAGAAAAAAGGGGTGGAGGAGCAGTTTAAATTAGAAGCTGTTCCTGGATGCTTGAGAAAAGGCAGTTGATTGAAATAAATAGAATGATCCTGCAACACTTCAGTTTGGGGACAACAGTAAAATTTCATTATAGTTTTTTGGATAAAACAAAATGTTCCAACTTTGGTACCTCCCCCCATAAAAAAAAAAAAAAAACCAAAAACAAACCCAACAGTTTTTTTCCACTTTTTAATCTTTTTTTTTAGTGCAAACTTTGCCACAATATCTCAGGATCCAAGGTAGAGTTCTCAGGGAATACCGGGACTAGTCCTGAGGTAGTAAGAGGTTAAGCTGAGGCTATACTTTTTCTGTCTGTGAAAGGAAATGAGAAAAGCACAAGAAAGAAGGCTTGACAAAGACCTGTATTCCAAGTAGGAGAGAGACACTCATAATAGTTATTATTCTTTGTCGCAAAGAACTAGAATGATTATCTCGTAGTGGCACAAAATTTGAGGGTATCATTACACCTTACAGATAACCCTGTCCACTGAATAGATCTGATTTTCTCAAACAATATAATGCATCATGCATAAAAAAGTGTAGTATGGATGACTGGTTTGCTTATTTCTACAGAATTCCCTTAGGCGTTTTCCTGCTATAGGTGTAATTCTTTCGGAATTTATAGCTAGAGCAGTGTACCCTAAGAGGTAAAATCCTCAGGGAATTTCAAAGTAATTGTTCCAGTTCATAAAAAGAGCTCCAGTTCCCAACTAAATGTGTGCCTCAGACCCAGTAAACAATGATCAATTGGCCTAGAGAGGAACTTTGAGAACACTAAAATTAACGTGGGTAGTTATCAATTTTGAAACAAAGTGGTTCTTGACTAAGAAAAATAAATAAATCTGGCTCTAAAATCCATTACTGGGAATTTGTTATACAAAAATATATACAAAATGTACAAAACTGTAAACCTCGAATGTGCATGGATCATTAGATAGGTTCTACTAAAGGAAGCCAGAGTTGTTCAAGCTTGAGGGCCCTAGTGTCAAAAAGCACAAGAACATTGTGGCTGTAGCTGTTCAAGCAATTTGCTATCCCGATTTCCCCAGAAGGATTATATCCTGGTTTTGCTGCCCAGAAAGACAGAAGAGCTGTTCAGGACAACATGTAGCTAGCATCTAGAAGATGAGCTCATTCACTGTATCTCTGGGACAGCTTGTGTCAGCAAAGTTCCTGGATAAATATAAAGGCATTAGATTCCAATGAAAATTTCTGCTACGTAATGTTTCTTTGAACATGTTCTTTCAAGGCTGTAATATCAAACCAGATGTTAAATTGAAGGTTGTGATAATAAGGGGGTAAGGTGTACATTTGTAGCCACAACTTCGTGGTGAGTGGTAGGTGTATCTAAAATGTGCTTGTGGGCTGTAAGAGAGGGCATGTAGCTTTCAGTCTCTACAGACAGTTTATATGTTGATGTCTAAGCTGGTTGCCATTCACTGTCTTTATAAGCAGTAAATGAGGCAGTGGAAGTGAAATAGGTGAGTTGAGTAACAGTACAGATTTGTCTCAATCTGACTGTGCAAAAATATTAAAATGTTCATATAGTAGCTCTGTTTAGTAGAATTAGGCTTTGATGCTGCTTTCTGTATTATTTACATTTAATTTTTTAAGAGAGATCTTATTTTTTGCAGACACATGTGATGAAGTTGAATCCCAGTGACCGGGCCTTAGAATTATCACCACTCCAAAAGCAAAAGGTACTGTAACTAATTATATATGTATACTTATACTGATGTTTAAAAAGATCTATAAATCTAGTATTATCCTTGTATTTAAAAAAGCTAGGCAAATTTTATAGGCCTCCTCTTGCTAATTTGCTGAATATCCACGAGGTAAAATTCTAAGAAGCTGACTGATGTCAGAGAGAATTTGTGCAGGCACATAGAACTCCTCATATCCAGCATAGTTTGAGATGAGAGTGTATAATACTTTACCAGTTTAAGGAGCAAGAGGCTATCATAAACACTTTGTAACTTAAGCTGATAACATACATTTCTACTGGTTTGTTGATATTAAAATTTTAAAATATTTTAATCAAATTTTGGGACACAATGTAAGTAAAGGTTTTATTTACAGATATTCACCATGGCGTATATTTAAAGGAACAATAATACTGGTTTTAATTATGACATTAAAATACTTTTGTATCATCTTTCTATTTCACTCCTAAAGTGATCCCAGCATTTCAGCATTTTGGTATATTTCATTATAATTTTATTTTATCTTTTAAAAATTATTCTGCAGAATTTGTTAAATAAGTGTAAAATTGAAAGCAGAAGGACAACAGATTTTCAAACTTATTAGAAAGAGCATAACAGTGAGTGCATCAGAAGATTTCCCAAGGGGAAAGGTGGAGGAAGGTGTAAGAAAATTGTAGTTCTTTCCTTCTCTTCGCACAGCCTCATGCATTCTGTGTGCTCTAGCTTATGGGGCATGATACTGGCTACGCAGTTCTTGTTGCATTCACTTTGAGTGCTTGGATAGTGAAATAAGTGTAGTATGCTTACCATCAAAAGAATGTTACATTCTTCTAATATGTGCACTTGTAAATTCATTTCATGTGAAATACTCTACCTTTTATGCTATCTTTTAGTCTCCCCACACAAATTGTTTCTTTTCTTGTTCAGATGTTTTTGTAACCCTTTTCTTTTGCTGTCATTTTTCCTTAATGCTTTCCTTCTTTCTTTTTAATTTTCTGCTTCTCATGTGGAATAGAAGAACAAAAAAAATGTGAAACTGAAAAGAGATGGTAAGGGTGGGCTGAAAAACAAGGATTCTGGCTCTTTACAAAAGCAGTCTTCACTTTCAGAGTCACCAGGACAGGATTTAGAAAAAAGTAGTGCCTTTGTAGGGAAGCCTGTGGCCAAAAAAAATACAATGAAAGGTAAATCTGAGCATGCACAAAATGTTAGTATTTTGAAAAGTGGTGTTCAACAAATTACTAGGGACAAATGCAGATTAGTGAAGAGGGAAAAAGAATCTGCGGGAAATCCTCATTTTGTCGAAGAGGATGCCACTTACAATCTTCCCACTGAAAAACAAATTCTGACTGAAGAAACAAATTCTTCCAATAAAAAGTCAAAAGCTGTTAGATCTAAGCAATCCCTTAATATAAATGTACTTCCTTCTGCGTCCAGGGATGGGGCCCAGACTGATTCATTAATTGTACAAAAATACAATCCTGTTAAAAAGCAAGGAAGTAAAGAAGCAGTAGAAAGTGAAAACAAAATAAAGGATGTTGTTGAAAAATCTGATAAATGTGAAAGAATATGCACCAGAGGAGAAGAAAGTAGTGAAAAGCAGAGAGGATTTAAAAAAAAGGATCAGTTTTTGAAACAAGTGGCTCTAACTATGTCATCATTTTCAACTGAAGAAAGTAGTAATGATCTTGCAAAATATGTACTTAAGAGCAGGGAAGAAGAGGACTGCTACGAAGGGAAAGTTGAAGGCAATGAAAGCAATAGAAAAAGTGAAAGATTTAGACTTAGAAAAAGAAGATAGTGAGATTGAGGAGATGCAAGCTACAAACAATGAGAAAGAACATGTAGAGGAGGCTGATATAAAAAGCCTTAATGAGGAAGAAACTAACTCTGAAGCTAAATCTGATGAAGACAGGCAGTTAGAAATTAAGGAGAAGGAATCTAATGAAGAGCAGGAGAGTGAAGGCAGTGAAAAGTGTGAAAGTGAAAAAGAAAAACTAGATGAAAGGGTTGACAGTGAAGGTGAACTAGAGGAGGAAGAAGAGAGTGAGGTTAAAAAAGACAGAGATGAAGTTTCAGTAGAAAAAGATGAAGAGGAAAAAGATAATGAAAATGAAAGAGAGCAATCACAGGCTGAAAGAGACAGTGAGAATGAGGGTGGAGAAGACACTGAAGACACGAATCAGGAAGTTGGCAAAGAGCAAGGAGATGAGGAAGGGAGGTTGATGGAAGAAGAAGAAATGCTGAGTGAGGGAGAAAAGGAGAATATGGAGGAGGAAGAGTATGAAAAAGAGGAAGACCCTGAAAAAGAAAAGGAGGAACAGGTTGAAAGTGAGGGAGGAGATGAGAGTGAGGAAGGAGGTGAAGACAGAGAGGAGAAGGAAGAAAAAGAGGTGGAGGCAGAAGAAGAAGGAGAAGAAGAAAAGGAAGATGAAGAAGAGAACAAAGAAAGGGAGAATGAAAAAGACAAAGAGGGTGAAGAGGAAGAGTTAGAAGAATCATTGGCAGGGGGGGAAGAAGAGGTATCTGAAGAAGAGGAAGATGCAAATAGGAGGACTAAGGAGGTATGGGAGGATGGAATGGAAGAAGAAGGAGAAGGGGTGGGGGATGAAGTGAAAGTGGAAAGAGAAGATGAGGAAGAGGAGGGACCAGAGGCAGAAGCAGAAGGGGAGGAGGGGGAAGAAGATGAGAACAGGGAAGAAGAAGAGTGGGAAAATGAAGAAGAGAAAAGGGAAGAAGAGGAAGGAGAAGAAGATGATGAAGAGGGAGAAGGGGTGGAAGAAGATGAGGAAGTAGGGGAGGAAGAAGAGAGAGAAGAGGGAGTTGAAGATGAGGGACAAGAAGGAGTGGAAGAAGAAGAGAGAGAGGAGGAAGAGGGAGGGAAGGAAGAAGAAGGGGAAGAGGGAGGAGAAGAACCAGGGGAAGAAGGAGAGGAGGAAGAAGAAGGGGAAGATGGAGAAGAAGAAAAAGGGGAAGAGGGAGAGGAGGAAGAGGGAGGGGAGGAAGAAGAAGGGGAAGAGGGAGAAGAAGAACACGGGGAAGAGGGAGAGGAGGAAGAAGAAGAGAAAGGGGAAGAGGGAGAGGAGGAAGAAGAAGGGGAAGACAGAGAAGAAGAAAAAGGGGAAGAGGGAGAGGAGGAAGAAGAAGGGGAAGAGGGAGAAGAAAAAGGGGAAGAGGGAGAGGAGGAGGAAGAAGAGGGAGAAGAAAAAGGGGAAGAGGGAGAGGAGGAAGAAGAAGGGGAAGAGGGAGAAGAAGAAAAAGGGGAAGAGGGAGAGGAGGAACAAGAAGGGGAAGAGGGAGAAGAGGAGGAAGGGGATGCAGGAGAGGAGGAAGCAGAGGATGAGGGAAAGGAGGAAGAAGGAGAGGAAGAGGAAAAAGCAAAAGGTAAAAGAAAAAAATATAGTAATAAGCTTCCACAAAAGAAAAGCAAAACCAGCAAGCTGGAGAAGACAGAAAGTACTGCTTTACCAAACAGCTCTAAACAAAAAATGAAGTACAAACAGCATGTAGCAAACGGTTTACATAATTCAGAACAATTTTGGAATAATGTGCTACCTCATTATTTAACACTAAAGTAGCTTACACTAATGGAGATGCATTTTGAAGCCTATTCAGAAAACTTTGGAACTATGGCAGACTGATTTTTATTACTTAAAATAAAATGTTAATGTAGTCAGAATATATTCTTATGCATATATTTAAGTGCCAATTTCTTGAAAAAGACTGAAGAAAATGTCTAGATTTGGGAAGCTTTTATGAGAGAAATAATATAAATTGTTGATAGAGTCATTTACACAATCATCTTTATCATGTATGACACAGGTTTAAAATAATAATTGCCGAGGAGGCAAAATGTGTTTGCCTGTTAATTAAATTATTCATGCTGACAACATGAATTATACATTGTAACAGTGTAATCTTCTTTGCTTTTGAATCAGATTTCTTAAGGTAACACATCAATTTTAGTTGCAGCATAGCTTACTTGTTAATGTGCCTTATATGAAAGGAGTGTCAGTAACTTAACAAAGTTACGTATTTTTAAATTTTGGTGTCACTCCATATTCATTCCCCCTACTTTTCTTTTGTTCATATATTGGTAAAATGTTTGAGTACACAGCGTAAATTAGAGAAGGGACAAGTTGCCAGGTTGACATGAATCAGCAGATGGGAGGTAAATGGAAATGTAGGCCTGGCCAAATGGTGGCCTGAGCTTTTTCAAAGGTCTTAAGGTTGACTTCTTATTTAGGTGTCAGCACACAACTACGTGCAGAAAGACAAACACAAGTCTCAGAATCTGACCTAGATGGCATTAGAATCAGAATGCATTTGTTTAAGGATAATTTTGACTATCACATTTGGTGATTAGATATAATTAAGAATTTGAAAATACACACCCGTAAAACGTTATTTGTTTTATACTTCTTTATACTGTGCAATACACTAAAGATTCTGTATCTGCCTACAGAAGACTTCATTACATTAGTCATCTAAGGTTCTCAAAGAGGGGAATATATTTTGTCACAGTGTGAAGTGTATATATGTTTTCAGGATCAGAGTGTGAGCCTCTCGTTGGAAGAGATGTGGTTTACCCTCCCAAAAATCACATCTGCAATCTCTGAAAAGAGGACAATGTAGTAAACCAAGAAGCCAGATAAGTGGCATGAAAGGCTGAGTTCTTTTCAGAAAAGACAAAGTATGTTAATACTTCTGGAGTTTCCTTAAAATACACAAACAAATCTTGCAAATTATTTTTGTAAGATATTGCATTACTGTTTCAACAATTAGTGGTTGAACTGGCAAAAGAAGGGATAGGAACTCATCATACAGCATTATTACTTAAATACTGTGCTAATAGGTGGTCTGAGAAATTTTTGTAAACAGATCTCAGTATTGACATTCTCTAGAAAAATAGTTATTTAAATCCTATTTGAGAATGAGGGCAGGAGAAGAAAGGAGTTCAAATGAGTAAATGTCATTCAATAAAAATGTTAGTGGAATCAATACTTATGTTGATATTATAAAACATTTTTAATGTTGTTTTGTAAGATACGGGCATTAAACTATCTTTCACACAATGTCTCCAGAATTTATTTTCTAAAAGATTAGTACCTTGCCAGTAGATTCTAGTCCACTTTGATCCTTCCTGCCTTAGTTACCCCTTTCATGTACTCTATTTGAAGGTAAGATCACTTTCAATCATGTGCCGTGTGCCTAACTATAACAAAAAGTTAGTCCAGTGACTGTATTTTGTCCCTGCAAAATTTGTTTCAAGCTTCGGGATTTTCTGGAATACATTGTCTTGACATCAGCATGTGTAAGTCTTTGGAAAAGGGTAAGTATCAACATATTCTGATAGAGTGGAATATTCTAACAGTTAAATGCACTTCCCAATAAAACAGGTCTCTGTAACAATGGAGTCCTTGAGTATTTAGCAAAAGTGCTGCGTTATCACTGAACTGCTGTGAAAATATTTACTTTTGAAACTAAGAGGAGCTAAGCTGTGTTTCTTAATAAAAGATTAGAATGGTACTGTGATTAAACTTAGAGTAATATTGAAAAGTATTTTTATAGGCCTAAAGCTGTGTTTCTTGGATATGGCATTTACTTATTTCTGATTGTAAAATTCAGCTTTGCAAGAAAATTGTGCTGTGAAAAAAACCTGTTATTTCCTGTGAAGTATATTTGCTAGAGAGAAGGGGAAAAAAGTGAGAGCACTTTGAAGGAAGTGATTTCCAATTCCGCACAGGAATGTCTCTTCTTTTACTGTTTGGCTGTAGCTTTTAATCTAAATCCTTAGGCAAATAGGGACCATTTGTTGTTCCTCTCTTAACACACACTGATAGCATAAAGCTTCCCAAGAGAGTAAAGGAAGCCAAGTTATGGGCATCTCCTCGTTTTTGTTTTGTCTGGATGAAAATTCATTGAATTGAGAAGTATTTTTATATTGTTTTGTGGATCATTCCTGTGGTACAGGAAAAGCAGAGCATTACTCCAGCACTTCTAAGGGTTTTCCACTGAATCGTTACATAAATTGTACATTGTGCCAACGTTTCTGGGCTTTGGGGGGACTTTGGAACTCCATTAGTGTAACAAGTGGAATTTTATTTAGTTTGACTCATACTGATTTAAAAAGTTTGATACTTGTGGTTTTGTGGAAATTCTGTATGTCCTTGGTATTTATTATGGGATACAAAAAGATTTATGTGCAGTATTTAAGCAACATGGCAGAAGTACTCCTGAACTAGTTTTTAGTAGAGAAAATAAATCCTGCAATAGAGAGAAAAAACAACACACAACTGCTCAGACCAAAGGTCTATCTAGTCCAATATCTTTTTTCTACCAGTGGCTACTGGTGAATGCCTGGCAAAAAAAACAAGAGTAGAAAAACATGTAGTGTTACTTCTCCTGTGTAATAATTCAGTATACTGAATATATTCAGTATATTCAATAATTTGTGGTTCGGCAGATGAATCTAGTATGTTTAATAACCATTCTTCTTACATTATTTTTTTCAGTCAGTTTTTAACCTGTTTAGCATCCAGTACATGTTTTGGCAAACAGTTCTTAGATTACTTTACACATGGTTAAAAGAAGTAACTCCTTTTTTTGTCTCAAATCTGTCTTTTTGTACCTTCGTTTGAAGTATTAGAAAAAAGAGCATTTATTTCCTCTTCATGATTTATTCACTCGTGATTGTCACATGGAAAAACTGTTCAGCTATGTGGTTGAAATCAAGATCGAAGTGGTTTATTCATTTATTAATAACAGTTAACCAGCAATCAGACAACTACATATTCAAGATCAAGAGCTGCAATATAGCAGATAACTCTATAGACATCCATAAAATGTTAATAAGTACCCGCAAATTTCTGAGCACTGTTCTGCAGCTAATGTCAGACGTTTCAGTCCCCCTGCACACTCTCACATATATGTTCACAGAATTACATATGCACATACTGCCTTTTATAGCAGGCATGAATTACCAGCACGTATCCCATTTTCAGGGGCTGGGGTGCAACTCTGCTCTTGCCACACAGCTCCTGTTAGAGATGAGGATGCTCTAGATTACTTTTGAATATGCTGTAGCACAACTCTTCCCTTATGCGTGCAAAATTTCAGCTGAATTTTATATCTGAAAATATCAAGCTATTTCTTCAGATAATAGGTCTCTTTGCGTAATTGATGCTGAATAACAAAAATATCTTTCTCCAAACTACAGAAAATGTCTGGTTTTTATTCACTATTTTTTGTCCCCATGTGTTATCTGGAGACATACATGGTTGTTCTTTAGAATGGGGCCTTTAGGAATCATGCAGAAAAGGACATTTAGTTTTTATTTGCATTGCTTTAATTTTTTCCTCTAGCTTTTCTTAGCTTTAGCCATCTTTTAAGACAAATTTTAGCTTACTTTCTCCAAAGATGATACTACCTTCTAGATCTTACCTCTCAGAACATCAGTCATTTATTTTTAGCAATTGAATTTGTGGTGTGAATCTAGTAATTAACAAAAGTATTGTTAAATACTCTAAAAGAAATGAGACTGATGAAAAACAGAGTATATTTTTTAATGCAATATGCGTCTTTTCTTAGTGCATATAAGCTTGATTTATGAACTGTGAGCTCACCTGAACTTCTGTGTATTGTCTCAAATTCTCAAATTTTATAATGAGTATTATGGGAAGCAGAATCAAGTTCAGAAGTCAGAGCATCTTCAGGCAAAAAAAATGTTGTCAGATCTGTAAAAAGGCAAAAAAAGGGCAAAGTAAATGTAAAAGGGCAAATTCTCAACTAATTTCAAAATGTGCCATTCAAATAAACAATAGTGTTTAGTACTGTGGCATTCTATGAGCAACTGAACAAATATCTTTCTTGCACAAATGGCAAACATATAGTTTTGTCCTGAGTGAAGTTCTGAGTGTGTTGTGATCTGAAGTCATTCACTGA